GGAGAGGAGAGGAGAGGATAAAGGAGAAAAGAAAGAAGAAAAGAAAGAAGAAAAGAAAAAGAAGAAAAACCCCTGTCAGGGGCTGGCTACTACAATCTGTAGAAACACCCTGTTCCTTTCCTACAAATGAAAATGTCCCTTTACTGGCCCACAGAATTTTGCCTCAGTAAACACCAAAAATCACTGCACACAACGATATGCTTGTCTCAGTCAGCAGCTCTACACCCTGTCCCTCAGGTATTGCCTTTCTGTCCCCTTGGCAGGGCTCATATCTCTCCTCCCAGCCTACTTCTGAAAAGTCACTGCACACGACTAAAATTTCACCTTGTTTTGGGGTGTCACAAGAATACTGTTGGCAGTTCTGATCCTGAAGTCATGCATGCCGGCTAGAGAAAATTCTTTGGCTTTTTGTTTGTTTGTTTGTTTGTGGTGTCTTTGCTGTTCCTGTGAACTGAAACATGCTTTCTGGCCACAGCAGTTATGCTCAGCTGACAAGAGGCGATGCTGAACTAAGCCCCTGATCTGAGCACTGGCTTCAGCTCCACACTTTTCCCACAGTAGGTTGCTGTCTTGGTTAAAGCTGACTCCTTCTTGATGGCTTGGCCCCAAAGTCCTGCCCTTCAATGATCTGGAAGTGTCAACCTGGTCTTCCTGGGGTTTGAGTGAAGACAGTAGACTGGTACTCTCAAGGCAGATGCAAGATCTGTATCTACAGTTATTTCACAAGCCAGCAGAGAGAAAGCTATCTTTTTTCGAGATGGTCCAGGTTAGAATTGCTGTCATTTGTGTCCCCAGGTAACCAAGAGCAAGTAATGTCAGCTATACAGCTTCTGGCTGTGCATGAGGAAGAGGAATAGGCTCCTTGCATCCCTCTTACCCCTCTGGGCTTTCTAGCCGTGTCATAACACAGGAAAACAAGCAGCTGGGACAAGAAGGACATCTGTCAGCACCATCACAGCAAGACCTATCTATTTCCTTACCTCAGCTGTGTCAGCAGGAAAAGAAAGGGTTAACAGGCTTTGCTTCCCTGAGTGGACCAAGGAGGCAACAGGATTGGGAGGAATCTGGTGGAACAAACAGCATCCTGCTCTATT